GTTTGGGAGAGCTTTTTTAGCTGAAACTTCTCTAGATTATTCTTCCCTACTTGGAGTGCAAGTCAAGGCACAAGATCCCTAGTATATTTACTTTCCTTATTGCTTTAGTAGAAGATGTTAGGATATTTAGTTGCTTTAGGATTTATTTTATTTGATGGTTTACGAGATCTAAGTAGACTAGGTTTAGATTTATTTTGCACCTATAAATAGGGATCATCCCTCATTGTTTTAAAGGTCGAGAATTGATGAGTTGAATAGAAAAGAACGTTTGTTCAAACCGTGTGTTAGGATTCGTGAGAGTTCGATCATGCAATCGAATTAGTGAGACTAAGACCCGAGCTAGTTCAAAATCGAGAGAGCGGGTCTAATTATCGAGTGAACTCAAGTATCGTGAGAGAGTTAGTATAATAACCGAGTCGGTCACACCTATCGTTGAGAGCAAGGCCGTGGCGACGCATTGTTCGAGGCAAGCGAGTGGAACAAAACACACGATCCTTCATCACTACGTGCCCGCAGGCTGCTGCCGGCCGTGCTGTGCGCACGCTATGTGCGGTAAGCACTACGGTCGGCACCTTGCCGGATGTCCGGCTACTTTTTCGGCAAACTTGCTATGGCTGAACATAATATGACTTAAAATGACTAAAAATGTATAAAGTGCTCAGGACTTGACGGCTAGATTTTGAAATAACTTGGAGATGGCTTATATAGCAACTTCGAGTACGTTTTGCACAAAACTTGAACCAAACGACTTGACTATTGTTGATATTATTTTCAGTCAACCGAATTAGACGATGCTGATCAGATTCTTATGTTCAATAGAAGGATGATTGAAGTCGTATAAAGTAGGTGATGCCTTTACAGATCTCAAGGTTCTAGCACCAATCGCAAGACAATGACGTATCGGGTAAAAATTCATCAAGAACCGACATCGTTGACAGCTGACCGATATCTCACGTCGGTTATGACATGTCGGTTACTACATATCGGATACGACATAACGGTTATAACCACACGGGCCGATATCTATGACTTGCTAGACCGACACCACAAGGCGGTGCCAGCTCAGCACAGCTCATCATTACGCCTGGCCAAGTGGCACGTTATTAAAATGAATGGCAATTAGCCGCCGTTGACAATTCTCGTGTAATAGATTACGTATTGGATAAGTGTTGTAAATAAATATAAAAGGAGAAAATAGTTCTCCAACCAAGAGACACGCATACAATAATATTCAGAAAAATTCTATCTCCTTTCACTGTTCATATAAGCCTTTATTGATTTATCTTAAGTTTACTACAAATCCCTGTCGATTATATAGTTGTTAATTTTCGTTTGACAACAGTTTGGCGCTAGTGGAAGGGCCGCATATCACGTTTTGAAGTTAACTTTCGCTGTTAAAGCCATTTTCACGCTTGAAGCCACCATGTCGCAGTCTAGTCGAGACCACACAACTCATCCTGGCCAGAGCCAATCGACTAACCATTCTCCGTGGCGTTCAACACCACCTCCTCCGGTCACGAACATCACGAACTTTCTTCAAAACCCAGAGTTTATTCAAGGTTTAACCTCGTTGATAGCTCGAGCCATGCCCAGAAACTCGTGTACGGTACCATTATCAATGCCGTTAACTACTAATCCAACAAAACATCCAACCCATACTCGTCATGACCCCGAAACGCATGCAGCGACATCCCATGCTACGTCCCAACCTCACCATACTTCTCCCCATCGAGAAGAGTTAACTCGTATAACTGCTAACCCAATAACGAACAATCAAGCCCCCTGTACAGGAAATGACTGCTGAAAGTCACTCTTCTCATCATCAACGAATTCCGTCACGTCCTAGACTTACTTCACCAGTGCCTCATGGTCGTGAAGATTTGCGGCGCCAGATTGAACGGAATCGTCTTTCAAGACATAGTGCGGAAGAAATTGAAACTCTTCGTGAACGCTTGGCTGAACTCGAGACTCGACAGAAGTCGCAGGAAGACTCTCCCCGACATGTCTCGACGTCGGGAAATGTCATTGTTGAAGCTGATTCCCCTTTAGCTCCGGAACTTACCGCGGAGGCACTCCCAGCTAAGGTAAAAATCCCTCAAATTGGCATGTATGATGGAACATCGGATCCGGATGCACACTTGGGCCATTATACGTCTTGGATGGATCTGCATGGTGCCTCAGACGCTTTGAGATGTCGGATGTTTTCGCTTACACTGGGGCCACGAGCACAAAAATGGTACTATACTCTCCCACCTCATTCAATTTGGAAGTGGCAACAGTTACGTGCGGCCTTCCAATCGCACTTTATCGGAACTCAAATTTGTCTCATCCCAAAAGAATCAATTACCAACATCGTGCAAAAGGACGACGAGACTGTTAAGGACTACGTGTCTCGGTTCAACGACCGAATTCAGAACATGGAGCCTTGTCACCCTGAAACCTTGTTAGTAACCGCCATCGCTGGACTGAAGCCCAACTCAATGTTTCGCTGGACCTTGTGCCAAAATAAACCTGCTACATTTCAAGAATTCCTTGTGCGAGCTCAACAATTTATTATTGCCGAGGAATCGATGTCGGTTCCCAGCTTCGACTTCTCGGTGAAAGAAAACAAAATTGAACCGGACGTTAAAAAGAAGAATAAGAAGAACCTTGGGAAAGCACAGTTTCGGAATTTCTCCAAAGGATATGAAAATACTCCAGAGTCTCGGGCTGCTCGTGATCAGTATTCAGATAATGTTAGGACAGGCTATCAGGTCGTTTATTCCACCGGAGCAGCCACCATATATGAAGAACTGAAAGGAAAAGGTATTATTCCAGACCCGAGGCCTGTGAGAACCCATGAAGACAAGCTGGACAAAACTCGGTACTGTGCATACCACAAGTCTCCGGGACATAATACCGATGAGTGTCTCGGTCTTTTGTCGGCACTCTTACAGTTAATTGGACAACCTTAGCTTCAAAAGTTCCGAAATTTTGATAATCGCCGGAAAGGAAGGGCCTTGGATTTTTCAGATGATGAAGATGATGATAACCGACCTGTTAATCCGAAAAGAGCTCGTGCAAACGATAAGGAGGTCTTCACGTTTTCTACTCATGTCGGAACCTCGACTGATAACTACAGGAAATCCAGAACACATGACGCCTTAGAATCTTCACACTGCATACCTCGAGTTAATTCCAATAACAAACAGGTGGATACGTCTCGACGGAAAGTCAAAGTCTATGCCCGGGAGGCACAAAATGCCGAGAAATGAGTCATGAATGTTGATCTTCGAGATACCATCAATAAACAAAATTGTCCTATCACATTTAGTATCGAAGATGCCAATCTATTTGCTCATCCTCATTCCGACGCCCTTATTATAACAGCCCCGATTGGAGGGATTCCTGTTCATCGGATTTTGGTCGACACAGGAGCTTACTCAAGTATTTTGATGCTCCGCACGTTCAAAAAATTGGGTTTGGACCCAGCAGACATTAGGCCTTGCAACGACCAAATTCAAGGTTTCAATGGAAGCATTTCATGCCCTGTCGGCGAAATACTGCTCCCTATTTGGTTTGGTGGCTTTGGACCAAAATCCAAGATCATTATGGAGACTTTGAAAGTATTGGATGTCCAAAATGAATATAATGCTGTAATAGCACGAACTTCACTTTACAAACTTCGTGCTGCTGTGTCAATTTTCCATTATGCCCTGAAGTTCCCCACTATTGAAGGAGAAGGCACTCATTACGGAGATCAACGAAAAGCCCGAAGTCTGATGTTGCTCTCAACTTCGCGTAACTTTCATATGATTGAAGAGCAAGATGCTGATAACTCTGTTGGGCTGAACAATCCAACTCTTAATGCTGAAAGAACCGACCAGTTCGCTCCAGATACCGACATGCCTCGAGCAGATACCGACATTCCTCTTACGGATACCGATATCCCTATGACGTCGGTTTTGCCCGAACCATTAACTGAAGTCCTTGATCAAGAGCAACCTTTTCATGAGAAAGACACAGAAATGCACGAAGATATGGATCCACGGATGCAGTTCAAAGATGGAAATCATCATGCCCGAGCGGAACCAGTTGAAGATGTCGAAACCATTTACGTGGATGGATCGACTCAAGAAAAATCACTGCGTATTGGAGCTAACCTACAAGAACCCATTCGGTCAAGCTTAATTCAGTTCCATCAGTCAAACTCCGACGTATTCGCTTGGAAGCATGAAGACATGAAAGGGATTGATCCACAAAAAGCATGTCATCGCTTGAATTTGGATAAGACTGTCAAGCCCGTTATCCAGAAACGCCAGAAATTCGGTCCAGATCGCCAGAAGGCCCTTGAAGAGGAAGTAAACAAGCTCATAGACAATAAGTTCGTTAAAGAAGCCAAATACCCGACGTGGATATCGAATCCTGTCTTGGTCAAGAAAGCCACCGGCCTTTGGCGCCTGTGCATAGATTTTTCAGATTTGAATCAAGCGTGCCCGAAAGATAGCTACCCCATTCCACACATTGATTACATGGTAGATGCTACATCGGGACATCAACTCATGAGTTTCTTGGATGCCTATTCCGGCTATAACCAAATTCCCATGCACCCTGATGATGCTGAACATACCTCGTTCTACTCAGCTCGAGGCCTTTATTGCTATGTCATGATGACTTTTGGATTGAAGAATGCAGGGGCCACATACCAAAGGTTGGTCAATAAGATGTTTGCTCGTTTGATCGGCCACAAGATGGAAGTTTACGTGGACGACATGTTAGTGAAATCGGAACAGGCCTCTGATCACATCACCCATCTTTCCGAGGTCTTTGATATTCTCCGAGAGTATTCTATGGTTCTTAATCCCAAGAAGTGTACTTTTGGAGTTGGATCAGGGAAGTTTTTAGGATACATGGTGAGTCAGAGAGGGATTGAAGCCAATCCCGCCAAGATTCAAGCCATACTTGGCTTAGCTCCCCCGACGTCTATTAAGGGTGTCCAAGCTTTAACCGGTCGACTGGCAGCTCTAAATCGGTTCATTTCAAAGTCGACAGATCATTGCAAGCCGTTCTTTGACGCTATCAAAAAAAAGAAGCCGTTCGAATGGACCGTAGAATGTCAGAATGCTTTCGAAAACATCAAAGAAGTTCTCTCACGGTTACCGACATTGCAGAAACCACTTCCTAATCAACCTCTGTATTTGTACCTTGGTGTAAGTGACGTTGTTGTTAGTGCTGTTCTTATACGACAAGACGGACTTCAACAGTTCCCTATATATTACGTTAGGAAGGCTTTACATGACGCTGAATTGCGATATCCATATATGGAGAAGTTAGCCTTTGCTCTGATCATCGTTGCACGGAAGTTGCGCCCATATTTTCTGGAACATTCAATTATCGTGTTTACGACATACCCTCTCCGACAAGTCCTTCGCCGACCTGACACGTCGGGAAGAATGATTAAGTGGGCGATAGAACTGGGACAGTTTGATATTCAGTACCGTCCACGAACCGCTATCAAAGCTCAAGTGTTTTCTGATTTCATTGCTGAATTTACTCCCCCTGTCAATGCATCCGTTGAAGATCCGACATGGACTCTCTACATCGATGGATCGTCCACTGCTATACGAGCTGGAGGAGGAATTGTTTTAGTTAGTCCTGAAAAACAAGTGTTTTGTTACTCTGTAGCATTCACTTTCCCGGCCACCAATAACGAAGCCGAATACGAGGCCCTTTTATCAGGCCTACGTTTTGCCGAATCCATGAATGTTTCCTCTCTCCGAATATTTTCAGACTCTCAGTTACTAGTCAGCCATGTTAATGGCACGTACGAAGTTAAAGAACCACGGTTATTACCTTATTTTAATCTCGTAAAGAAAGAGTTGTCACGATTCAAAATTACGTTGGAGCATATACCTCGGTCATCCAATATTCAGGCAGATGCTCTTTCACGTTTGGTCTCGTCGACTGATTTGAATAATGTCGAGTTCGTGCAAATTACTCAACAGGCGACCTCATCAACAGTCTCTACCGATGTCGTCATGATTGACGCTGCTCCACCAACTTCAGATCCGACGTGGATGGATCCAATCGTCGGTTATCTTCAAACCGGGGCCATACCTGAAGACCCAAAAGAAGCTCGCACTCTTCGTGTTCGTGCTGCTCATTTTACTATTGATTAGGGAACATTATATAAACGTGGATATTCTACCCCATTGCTTAAGTGTTTGTCAGAGATTGACGCTCAACGAGTTCTTCAAGAAGTACACGAAGGAGTCTGCGGTACCCACCAAGGAGCTCAAGCTTTGTCCCACAAGATTCTCCGACAAGGCTATTACTGGCCGACTATCAGAAAAGATGCCGCAGACTGGGTGCGAAGATGCCACAAATGCCAGATATTTGCCCCTAACGTTAATCAACATCCTGAACTCCTCAAGTCAATTTATAGCCCATGGCCGTTTGCAAAATGGGGGATTGATTTGATCGGCCCACTTCCAACAGCAAAAGGGGGGTTCGGTTTGCGATATTAGCTGCTGATTACTTCACTAAATGGGTTGAGGCCGAGCCTCTCGCAACCATCACGGAACAAAAGATGATCGATTTTGTATGGAAATCAATCGTTTGTCAGTTTGGAATACGGAACTCCATCATAACCGACAACGGTCGTCAGTTTGAAGGGAAGCGATTTGAAAGCTTTTGTGAAGATTACGGCATCAAGCACTTATTTTCGTCACCTTATCATCCACAAGCTAATGGACAGATAGAAGCCGTAAATAAGATTATCAAGAATGGTCTGAAAACTCGGCTAGAGGCTGCAAAGGGATCATGGCCTGACGAGTTGCCTTATGTCCTCTGGTCTTACCGGACGACGACAAGAAATTCGACTGGAGAAACTCCGTTTTCGTTAGCATACGGGACTGAAGCTGTGATACCGGTTGAACTGGCTTCTCCGACATATCGGGTCACTCACTTCTCTGAAGAAACCAACTCGGCAAACTTGAAAGCCAGTCTCGATTTGGTCGATGAGTTACGGGCTGATGCTGAAATTCGAAATGCCGCTTATAAACGACGTAGTGAAAAATACATTAATTCAAGACTCAAGCCACGCTCATTTGTCAAAGGAGACCTTGTACTGAAAAGAGTCACTGGGGCCAATGTCGGCCCGTTACAACCGAAGTGGGAAGGACCCTTTAAAGTAAATCGTCTGATTTCTAATGGTACCTACCGACTCGAAACTCTAGATGGTGTTCCCCTTCAATATCCCTGGCACACAACCTATCTGAAGAAGTACTACCAGTAAGCTTGAAGGCCAAAGTTCTGTCCTTGACGTGTAAAAAGTTTTTGTCCTACTCCTGTACAAGAACCACATTTTGCTATCAATAAAGTTTGTGTGACGAACCTCTATAATTTGTTCGATCACTCGGACCACTATAAATCGGTCCTCGTTGCTAAGGCTAAACGTGTTTCATACCCTAAAGGTGGTATGACCTGGCCAAACGCGACAAAGTCGGATACTTCCAATCCCTGAAGTTTGTTTGGGGAGGCTTATGCTCTATAATATCAAATCCCGACGTTGATTTGATGAGCTCACAATAAATGTTTACAGTAAAAAGCAAGTCTTTTATGACTTGTTCCAATAAAGAGTTTGCAGATGTCGGATAAACTATAAATTGTGCCGACACCAAAAATTTAACCAAACTCAAGGCAAGACGATGTAAGTATTAAGTATCACGTCGGAGTAATTACGAGCATGATCCATTAAACGTTCGTTTATCTTCCTCCGACATGTTGACTTGGTACAATAAATGTCAAAACAATACATACATGAAACAAAAACCAAAACATTAAATTTCATTAATCACAAGAAATTGTCATTACATGCAATAATAATAAAAAAAAAAGAAAAACAGACAGAACAAATGTTATGCATCCTTTTGGGTCCCCGATGACGAGGCCTCTCCGGCTGTGAAAGATTGGGAGTTCCCAGCTTCGGCTTTACCCTTGTCCGCCGCCTCCAGATGGGTTATCAATCTCTCACCCAGGAGTTGCATCACCTCCTCCTCCTTCTCTTCCATAGCACGAACGACGTCACTCTCTTTTATAATGACGACATCGTCCTCCTCGTGCAAGACTCGGTCGTCGTCGAAGGGGATCAGTTCGGTCAGCCACCCTTTAGCTTTGGCGTCGTCCTCAGCCACTTTCCTCAGGGCAAAGCCGGTAATTGCCTCCATTAATCCCTCATCGGATAAGCCCTCCAAAGTCTCGACAACGAACGCCTCAGCGATCGCCTCGATACACATGTTCGCCAAGTCAGGTTTTTTCATCTTTTCCACTTCGAGGACCATATTGACGAAGGCCCGACGGATCTTAGCCCTGCGCTCCTCCGACAGCGGCGCCATGTCCAACTCCAACATCCGACTCTCCTTATGCTTCAGAAGTCGGTCGGCGAAGTCTCGTTCGTCCTGGTCGGCTGGGATATGAGCATTTTTTATCTCGGGGTTGAGGCGATATTTTTCCATTTTGTGCAAAAGGAAGATGCGCAGCTCGTCAACACTGTAGATGCCTCTTTCTACTCTGTCAATCACCCACCGTACCGTTAATGCGGCGTTTAGCTCCAGATCCCATTCGGTCACTACATCTGCGCCTACTGCTTTGTCGGATTCAACCACTGCCTTTTTACCGACATCAACACCTTCTTGAAGCTTGAGTTCGGCTGCAGCTGTCATTTCCTGACGAAGTTTGCTCATAGCAGTCTCATGGGCCTCGCGACATCGGATCAGTTCGGCGTCCTTCTCAGATCGGTCCTTGCGGACAGCTTGAAGCTCAGCCCTCAGCCTCATGAGTTGCTCATCTTTTTCTCTGGCCGTTTCTTCAATTTGAGCCAGCTGAACCGACATGAGGTCATGAGCCAATAAGAGATTTTCCTTTTCAGTTTTCAATGCGCTCGCCTCAGTTTGCGCCGCCATCAGCTGAGCATCCTTCTCCGATATTTTCGCCTCATAACGAGACTTCTCGCCTTCCAGAGACGCTATGGCACCTTCCTTCAAACTCAGCTCATGCTGCTTCTTATCAAGTTCGTGCGCACTGCCCCTATAACTCTCTTCAGCAGCGATGAAGCTAACCAGTGCCCGTCCCAAACAACCCCGGGCATAGCTAAACTTTTGGTCGTCGGGCAGAGACGCAATTCCGGCGTGAGTCTTTGGGTCCCATGACATCAGCGGAACTTTCGCCGCCTTCACCCCCTCACTGGGGACCCGATGGTTAATTGTCACTTTTGGCTCAGCGACCGTTTGGAACATCGAGAACAAAGGGTCAAACACGCCTTCCGACAAAGTCAACTCCGCCGCCTTTTTCTCATTAACCTTGAGGAAGGAGTCCCTCAAGATGATCTCAGGTTCTTCCTCCTCCTTGTCTCCGCCAGCGCCAGTGTTCGGCTTCTTCTTCATTCTTTCGGCCACGTGAGATACACTAGATCTCTTACGTCGTTGGACTACATTTAGAAGCGGCTCTTCCGACACCTCTCGCGAGATGTCGGTCACCACAGTGGGTTCCTCTACCGATGTCATCACTTGTTGAATCGGAGCAACGTCAAGTGGTGGGACGTCAGTAACCAACGACTCACTTACGATCGCCGGTGTCGGTTCCACCCTTGTAGACGATGGTTCACCAACAGCACTTTGAGAACGGTTGGGGTTCTTTTTCCACCCGATCGTACAGTAAGCCTTCGAACTTGGGTTCTCTCTTTCCCGTTGGTTTTGCTACAAGGTCACAAAAGTCCACCTGTTACCGGAAACAAAAAACAAGATATTAATAACCGAAATGAAGAAAATGCTGAACAACTTACAATAACCAGATTTAATAGCCGTTGGGATACTTGTCCCATCGGCAAGAAGATCATTAGCGAAGTCGGGGCACTGCCAATCCCCACCGACCCACAACCATTCCTCTTGGAAGCCGTGTAATGTGTCGGGGACCTCCATTACTAACTCGCCAACCTTGACTCTTGGTTGGGGTTTACCGACAATGGAAAAAGTGAGAAGTGGATCTGATACTTGTCTATCCGGGCTCTTCCAGAATGTAAACATACTCCTCATATCCTTTGCCGACGGTAAATCCCAATTCTTTTCGGCGAAGAGCACCAGCAGTCCAATAATCCGCTTCCATGAACTTGGAGCGATTTGGCATATCGGAAACTCCCAGTCCCGCAAGTATTCAGTGATTATGCGCGGCAAAGGGAATCGCAACCCTGATCTCAGACTCTCGGCGAACACACCGACGCAGTTGGGTGGAGGACATGTAATCCTCTCACCTGGGTATGGAGCGAACAAGTGTACCGACGTAGGGACTCGGATTTCACTCCGCAGCATAACAACGTCGGCATCAGTAAGTATACTTGGTTCGCCATGGGACGTAAGTTCGGGGTCCGGCCATCTCCTAATGGGTCGCCTCTAGAATCTTGAGTCATCAATGGCATTTTTCTCTACGATTTTGTCCCCCTCGCTGTCGTTTAGCCGAATATTCAACCGTTCGACAAATACCGGGTCCCACCGGTTATACTCGGACAACAATTCCATCTCCCCAGAGTGGACCATGTTGATCATCATAACATCCAGTTCATCGTCACCCGAAGACGCCCACGATACACTCATGATGTCGAGAAAAAAAAAAGAAAGGGGGCGAGATAAATAAAAGAGATAAAGAAAAAAAAGAATTCTTACCACAAAAAGTAGTCCGCAGATCTGGGATGCTTTGAGTACAGTTGAAAGAT